CCGGGCCTGACTTCAGCTTGCTGGAGCTCGTGGTGGACATCGTCGAGAGCCACGGTCGAACTGTCGGTGGTCTGAAGAATACACTTGGCAAACCATGTGCCTTAGGTTGGCGCTAGTACGTGTGATGACTCAATCAAAAACCTTAGAATTTGCAGTAGTCCATAGCTGACAAAACCCAACCCCTACAGACCTCTCCACTTACAGTACTGCCTAGAATTTGTGTAAAATACCGACATATGCTAAAGATTGATACGCTTTCGCTAATCGGCAGTGAGTAAGGTTGAAATACCGCCTAACGTGTAGTCTATTCTGAAGTCATTTCAGTCACGGTAGGACGCCGGCTCTTTAACGAACTTCGTTCTAACCACTAACAGAGAGGATGTAATGTAAACAGTGGCTACTTGCGTAGTATGCATTCTTATCATTGATTTTGACTGCCTTTATAACGTCAACTATATTTTATGCTAAACATGAACGAAGAAATTATTTCTTGTACTCGTTTGGTAGAACATTACGCCTTCTTTAAATTTACACTTAAAGAAAGGGTATATTTCGGTTTTAAGAAGAGTTTCTAATTATGAGCTTCTTTAACATTGTGAGGTGTTCATTCATTAAACAGCACATCCGTCAATTTATTAATGTTGCCTATAATGTGTACAGCATGTTCCACATCTGTTGCAATATTCTATGAGAACTATGCGTTTTCTTCCTCAGGCCATAGGCGAAAACGTACTTTGCTTCAAACAGGATTACACAGCGCGCATTCAGTAAACCTTGAATTCAAGTGGAGCAGCCAGTAGGCAATTTATAAACATTATAAAACCGAAAGATACCCTTTCTTTAAGTATAAATTTAAAGAAGGCGCAATTTTCTACCAAAAGAGTGCAAGAAATAATCGGTCATCAATTTTTTTCCAAAAAATATTTTTGAATTTGCAAAAGCAGTCAAAATCAAGGATAAGAATGCATACTACGTAATTAGCCCCTTTTTACAGAACACACGTTTTGTTAGCGATCAGAAAGAAGCTCGTTAGAAAAGCTGGCATCCTATCGTGACTGAAATGACTACAGCATAGACTACACGATAATCAGTATTATAACCTTACTCAATGCCGATTAGCGAAAGAGTATCAGTCCCTCGCATATGTCGGCCTGTTACACGAATTCTAGGTCGTACTGTAGCAGTCTATGGCACCTGTGATTGGCTGTCCCAGAGGCAGGTCGAGGACGGCATTCGTCTGTGGAAGGCACTATCGGCCCTAACCGCCACTACCAACTGAGCCATGTGTGTGTATGCGTTCCTTCGCGCCTCAGTAGTGATTTCCTACAAACTGTCTGCACTGAATTGGGCGTCCTCACGGCCTCGACGCAGCATATCTTTGGTGGCCTCAACGTGATCCTCCGAAAGCACAACCCACCTGAAGGAGAGGTGTAGCATTTCAGTGGCCACCAGGAGTCGGGTCCCTAGATCTGCATAAAGCACAATGAACTACGACGATGCGTAGACAGGACGACGTCGTCATCGTCCATTGGTTGTATTCGTTTGAATTTCGCATCTGTGGACCGCGACAACTGCCCAACTATACGTTCCATCAGCTCGTACTCCACCCAGGCCTCTTGTGTCCAGGCTTTGTGTCAGCTGATGGCTCCATTTATGAACTAGACTTTTGACGTCTAATGTGTGGTGAGAAGGTTGTTGTGCCGGCACTTTGACTGATTGACTGACCGACTAACCTGTTGATTTAACAAATGCAGTGTCCACTTGGTTCAATCCTCTTCCCTTTCGTGGCGTTAACTACTACTAGTAGTCATATTAATAACAATTTGCTTCTCTCAATATTAATTATATTTGCGCTTTTACTCCTACTCATATTTTTTTTATTAACACAACACCAACTGCCACACAAGTGGTCAGGGCAGTAGTAATCGTAAACTGATGCCAGCCAAGTAACCTATGTCCTTCTAATAAACGGGCTTACAGCACAGAAAAAAGACACAAAGATCTGCGGAGCCCAAACTTACAGGAGCCATTCCGGTGACAGTGTAAGCGTGACCAGCGATTAAGCCGTTGTTTAACTTGGCCTCAACTTCTTTGGACTAAAAGAAGGAGAAGAAGTGGCGTAATGTTTTTGAAAGGCATTGGTTGATATACGCTAATAGGTGACGCATGGATGCGCCCTTTTTCTTATACTATGACAAAACAGTGCGTTCCAACAAAACTTGCAAATCTTGTGACAAGTAACAGTTATCTGCTGAATGGATGTTTTCCAGTGCTGAGAATAACGCGCCCAGTGGGGGTTCTCTCAGCTCCGTGTTTGTTGTATTAGTTAACGAACCAAACTGCACATACAGATGAGAAACGATTGCTAGAAACGGAAGCATGACCACAGCAAAAGTATTGTATTGAACTTAATTTAACAAACTTCATTCTCATTAGGGGAGCCATGTTTAAAAAATGAGAACCTTGGGCCTCCAAAAACAGCGTCCTGCGCGGTAATTTAAGCAAAAAACCAAAAATACTTATGAAAAGTACTGCAAAGAACTTACATCAATCGAACAGCCCATCAGACAGCATCTCTTCTCGTTCTTGGCGATATCCTTCTGAATCATGTCAACGGTTACCTTCGTGAGATCTATGGTTTCTGAGAGACCGCCAGTCATATCTTCCATGCCCTCACCCTGCGTACCACCGGAAAGATTTGCGTAGGAGCCGTTCAGTCTGAAATAGAACACAGCAGATTTGCCAGTATGGCCGTGCTTAATCTAGCACTTTGTCAGTAGTGACCTCCATATTGAAGGTGGACCTTTGCCCAGATATAATGAACATGAATATCAAGCGAGATAACGGATACCAGACCAGGTCGTATTTCAATCCAATACCAAGATTTATCTAGAAATTTGGCTTCGTGTCCATAGCTATTCATACTTAAGTCAACTACTCTGGGCTATTATTTTCTGAAATGCCAGCTGTGATCGAGAAGTTTCCGGTTAGAGGGCCCTGGATTGGAGTTCTTACGCACAATACAATGGG